AGATCATCAAATAAATGATAATTAGTATTCTACTAAATCACGAAACTTGACAACAGCTTAGCTGTGTGGAGAAACAGTAGTAAGGATCTGGGAAGAAACAGTAGTAAGGACCTGGGAAGAAACAGTAGTAAGGACCTGGGAAGAAACAGTAGTAAGGACCTGGGAAGAAACAGTAGTAAGGACCTGGGAAGAAACAGTAGTAAGGACCTGGGAAGAAACAGTAGTAAGGATCTGGGAAGAAATAGTAGCAAGGACCTGGGAAGAAACAGTAGCAAGGACCTGGGAAGAAACAGTAGTAAGGACCTGGGAAGAAATAGTAGTAAGGATCTGGGAAGAAATAGTAGCAAGGACCTGGGAAGAAACAGTAGTAAGGACCTGGGAAGAAACAGTAGTAAGGACCTGGGAAGAAATAGTAGTAAGGATCTGGGAAGAAATAGTAGCAAGGACCTGGGAAGAAACAGTAGTAAGGACCTGGGAAGAAACAGTAGTAAGGACCTGGGAAGAAACAGTAGTAAGGACCTGGGAAGAAATAGTAGTAAGGATCTGGGAAGAAATAGTAGTAAGGATCTGGGAAGAAATAGTAGCAAGGATCTGGGAAGAAATAGTAGTAAGGACCTGGGAAGAAATAGTAGCAAGGACCTGGGAAGAAACAGTAGTAAGGACCTGGGAAGAAATAGTAGTAAGGATCTGGGAAGAAATAGTAGTAAGGACCTGGGAAGAAATAGTAGTAAGGACCTGGGAAGAAATAGTAGTAAGGACCTGGGAAGAAATAGTAGTAAGGACCTGGGAAGAAACAGTAGTAAGGACCTGGGAAGAAACAGTAGTAAGGACCTGGGAAGAAACAGTAGTAAGGACCTGGGAAGAAATAGTAGTAAGGACCTGGGAAGAAATAGTAGTAAGGACCTGGGAAGAAATAGTAGTAAGGATCGTCCTTGTCTCTAGGACACAAGCTGAAATATGGATAGATTGTAAAATTTGCCTAAATGGATATTATTTTACACACATTTCTAAGTGAAATGTGGTAGCGACCTGAAACAAGAACTCACTTGTTGATTGTTAGTGGCCATACGGCTTGACGACAAACATCCTACCTGCTAAAATTTGTGATCACAAAAATAACAGCAATAAGGAACTTAGAGTTTACCGAGCCTAGTGTCTGAGTAATAACGAAGCCGCTCTAGCACGCTGACATTCGCTGCTGCTAGGATGACGTAATTACGGGCCGGTAAATTTTGCACGCTTCCAGGTACTGTTCCTCTCTGGGAGCATAATGGCTGCTTCTCCCTCTCTCGCCCGCGCATGCCCAGTAATACGGAGTGTTGGAACGGAAGAATTAACTCCTATAATTTACTCAACTATGCGAGATAATAAGGACAAGGTTTATAAAAAAAGAGAGCTAATATTAATTAAATTCTCGTCATAAACCAATATGAAATGAAGTTCATATAGACGAAAAGGTTATAGGAAAAATTCTGTTCACTGTGAATTTCGTTGATAACAGTGTTAACTGTGTATAGTGATCTCAGCAAATAATGCTATATCATGTGATCACTGGTAAATATATTATCAGCTAATAATTCTTGCAGAAGAATGCTGATATGAAGGGAAAATTGAACACACTTCTCTTAAATGTAGACTTTTTCCCCTCAGTCGGTCTGGCTGACGTAGCCTCGCCTTGGAAACCTTTGGCGTGGTTACTACGCACTTGGAAATGAATTAATATTATTACTCTACTGATTAGTAGTATTAGTAAAACATAATGGTTAGTACAAAGATTATTTATCGAAGTACTAAAAGTGAGAAATAAGTGTTGGATATTTCCTACAGTTACGCAAGCACTTACGAACCTGTACATCTTTCCTCAATCTTTGACGGCTTTGGTTACATTTATTAAACAGTTTACAAGCATGAAAAATTCCCAATCAACTGTTGTTGTTGTTATAAACAGCCTCCTGGTGCTTCGGAGCTCATTAACTGTTTAATAATTGTAAACAAAGCCGCCAAAGATTGAGAAAAGATGTACAGGTTTGTAAGTGCTTGCGTAACTGCTTCGTGAATCAGCCCAGGAGGCTGGGTCCATCATATCACCTCGCTCTGATGACTTTCTCATTGATGTCTCACCTTGTTGAATTGTCCTTGTGTACTGTGTACTATGTATGGTGTACTGTGTACGGTGTAATGTGTAATGTACTGGGTACTGTGTATGGTGTAATGTGTGCTGTGTAAGGTGTAATGTGTACTGTATACTCACCTAGTTGTACTTGCGGGTGTTGAGCTTCGGCTCTTTGGTCCCGCCTCTCAACTGTCAATCAACTGGTGTACAGATTCCTGAGCCTACTGAGCTCTATCATATCTATATTTGAAACTGTGTATGGAGTCAGCCTCCACCACATCACTGCCTAATGCATTCCACTTGTTAACTACTCTGATACTGAAAAAGTTCTTTCTAACGTCCCTGTGGCTCATTTGGGTACTTAGTCTCCACCTGTGTCCCCTTGTTTGCGTACCACCAGTGTTAAACAGTTTATCTTTATCTATCCAGATAAAGATTTCCTCGTTACGAGGAAAGGTTACGAGCCTTTCCTTGAAAACTCATGCCTCTTTGTTCTGGGACTAGTCTAGTGGCATATCTCTGAACTTTTTCCAGCTTCGTCTTGTACTTGACAAGGTACGGGTTCCATGCTGGGGCCGCATACTCCAGGATTGGTCTTACATATGTGGTATTCAAGGTTCTGAAGGATTTCTTGCACAGATTCCTGAAGGCTCTTCTGATATTAGCCAGCCTCGCATATGCCGCAGATATTATTCCTTTTGATGTGGGCTTCAAGAGACAGGTTTGGTGTGATATCAATTCCTAGATCTTTCTCTCCTTCCATTTCATGAAGGCCTTCATCTCCCATTCGGGATCCTGTGTCTAGCCTCCTGTTTCCACTGCCTAGTTTCATTACCTTACATTTACTTGAGTTGAACTTTAGTAGCCATTTGTTGGATCATTCATTTAGTTTATCTAGGTCATCTCGTAGTCTCATACTATCTTCCTACATCTTAATCCTCATAATTTTTGCATCATCAGCAAACAATGAGAGGAACGATCTTCCTCTGGGAGATCATTTACAAATATCAGTGTTACGGTACCAGCACCGTTGCTGGAGTAAGGAGTGGCAATTTTGGCGCCATCTATGGACCTGCACTCCACCTCCAGGTATTTGGTGAGGTGCAAACAATGCCATCTGTTGGCGGTGGTGAATGACTCCTGTTTCATACCTCAGTTAGGAGGTGAGGTCGATGATGATGACCTCTGGTGGGTGGCATAACGATATCAACACCATCTAAGTTGTGAAAGCAATTACATTTTCAACTCCCCGGTGGAAGGGTGTTATCCTAAGGTCACCCAGTATACTGTCTGTCTAGCTAATGCTTTTTTATGTTCAGAGAGGTAACGTAAGGAGGCGGTTGTGCTGAGGAAGGCAGTTTACCTTGAGCAGTCCAGAACTCTTGACTTGGTCCTGTGAGAGGAGGAAGTGGCCGCCGTCGGTAGTAGCAGTGTGTTAGCTGCTGGATATATGTAGTGTTGTGTGGACCGACATACCCGGGAATTGGTTAGGAGGAGTTACAAGACGACAGTTGTGGTTGTCTGCTGAGAAGTACTGCTAGTGTGTTGCTAGAGACTTCTGCCAGGGTGCTAAGGGGACCCATGTATGTGATTATCTGAGACTCCTGTCAGCGTGTTGCTGAAGCCCTCTGCCAGTGTGTTTCTGGAGAGCGGATGTTGGGTGTTGGAACACCGTGACAATATGGTGTGTGGACTGGCCCATGTTGAGGAAGGTAAACTCGCTGGTGATTACTATTAAACATGGACGACATGTATCTGGAGGTAGTGGATTGGCTGGGATCTGATGAGCTTTCCTCTGAGCTCTGTTTCTCATGTTATATCTGTTAGGAATTTTCTTATCTCCACATTGTATCCCATTCGGAATGCCAGCCTTTTGTTTTCAAGTCCCTTCCTTTATTTCATTAACCCTTCGACCAGATACTCAAACATCAGTACACTGTGATTGTTCATACCTATTGGGGCCTCGAAGCTGATTTCCCTTATGTCGGAGTCGTTCAGAGTAAAGACTAGGTAGAGTCTCGCTGGTTCATCATTTCCCCTCATTCTTGTGGGTTCCCTGACATGCTGGCTAAAAAAGTTTTTTGTTGCCACCTCCAATAGTTTAGCTCTCCACGTTTCCTCCATGCTGTTCCTTGTTCTCCCAGTCTATCCTTCCGTGATTGAAGTCCCTCATGATGAGCAGATGGGATCGAATTCTACAGGCAGCAGAGGCTGCCCTCTCAATTATGTTGTTAACTGTCATGTTGTTGTTGTCATACACTTCCCTGGGTCTTCTGTCGTTTGGTGGAGAGTTATATATCACTGATACTACTACTATTGGTCCTCGCATCGTCATGGTGCCTGTTATGTAGTCTCTGAATCCCACACGGCCTTGGTGAACCATTTCCTTGAAACTCCATTCCTTTCTCATGAGTAGTAGTAGGCATCCATCAGTCTCAGGAGACAATGGAGTTGCCTACTCCATAGTAGTACATTGCTTACTCATGAGTAAGGATTGTACTTACTGTGTATGTACTGAATGCTGTGTGCTGTGCGGGTTGTGTATTGTGTTCTGTGTATTGAATGTTGTGTACTGTGTCCTATATGCTTTGTGCTGTGTACCGTGTACTGTATATTGTGTGCTGTGCATTGTGTGTTATGTGATGTTTATTTACTATTTGTGTCTGCAGAATCGAGCTATTAGCTCTTGGACCCCCTCCTTTCGTACCAATGTATTTTTCCTCTTTTATATCAACTACATTAATTTTTTTGTAACATACACACACACACACACACACACACAGCGGAGTAGCGTACTCAAGTCATGGAATAAGGAGCTATGCATTATCCCGTTCAAGTGAGGGTCGGGCTCTCCACACCAGCCTGGTCCCCACACGGGCAGGATACGTCCTCACACACACACTAACACCTGTACCGTGTGCAGGCACTTGTGACGAGAACACTTGTGAACTAGTATGATGTACGGTGGGAACAGGTCCGGGGTGACGGGGCCGCAGGCTGAGGAGGACCTGCAGGAGGTGACACTGGCCAACACCGTCATCGCTGCCACCTGCCCCAGGCACCCCAGGTGTGACCGGCACCTCCTCTACCGCACCCTCGACGGCTCCTGCAACAACCTGGAGCACCCGTCCTGGGGCCAGGCCAGGACCACCTACCAGAGGCTCCGTCCCCCACACTACAGTGACGGTGAGTGTTGCCCCAGCTCCTCCCCCACACTACAGTGTTGCCTCAGCTCCTCCCCCACACTACAGTGTTGCCCCAGCTCCTCCCCCACACTACAGTGTTGCCCCAGCTCCTCCCCCACACTACAGTGTTGCCCCAGCTCCTCCCCCACACTCCCACACCATTGCCCACGGGAGAAGGCTTCCATGCACCATAGAATGAAACCCATAATGACAACATCTTCCCGTTCCGCAAACTGTTTTTTAACATCATAAAAATTAATTTTTGTCGTGATTCTGCAGGACTTTCAGGTCCGCGTGTGAGTGTGGGCGGCGGCCCGCTGCCCTCCGCCAGACTGGTGTCCACCAGCGTAGCTGCCGACGAGGACCGACCCAGCGCTGACCTGACCCTCTCCGTCATGCAGTGGGGTCAGTTCCTGGACCACGACCTCGCCCACACCCCAATCAACAGGTTCGGTCAGTACTGACGCCCTTAAATGGCAGCTCTTGCCACTCTCCCGCCAGTTTCCCCCCCAAAAAAATCATATATTCATTAAAAAATTAGATATTTCTAATTTGAATCCGTTGTTTTGGGTTCTTTACATGACTTCATAGTTTCTACAGCTTGCACATAATTATTTTGTTGATTTCATTCTTTTGTGTATTTTAATGTTTCTCTCCCTCTGGCTATGCCTTTCAAGGGAATTAAAAGTGAGTTTTTATTTATCTTTAGAATGATGCTCATGTTAGTGTTTAGTTCTAACATCACTACTACACCACTACTCGTCCACTACACGTCACTACACCACTACTCGTCCACTACACGTCCCTACACCACTACACGTCCCTACATCACTACACGTCCACTACACGTCCACTACGCCACTTGATAATATTGGTGAGGTGTGCCAGAGCCACATTCTTGTCATAAGGATTCAGATTTATGTAAAGTGAATGGCATTTTGCAGATTTTCATTTCAGATTAACTGAAGACTTGATGTAGTTCCGCTCAATATTGTTTGTGTTGGTGGTACAGTCTGCCCAGCTTGGTGTGTGTTGGTGGTACACAGTCTGCCCAGCTTGGTGTGTGTTGGTGGTACACAGTCTGCCCAGCTTGGTGTGTGTTGGTGGTACACAGTCTGCCCAGCTTGGTGTTTGTTGGTGGTACACAGTCTGCCCAGCTTGGTGTGTGTTGGTGGTACACAGTCTGCCCAGCTTGGTGTGTGTTGGTGGTACAGTCTGCCCAGCTTGGTGTGTGTTGGTGGTACACAGTCTGCCCAGCTTGGTGTGTGTTGGTGGTACATGTAACAAACTAGGCTGTTGTAAGAATTATCCAGAGTGGTTTATCGACAAAAGAGAATGGGAAGCTGAGCCGCATGGTGACCTGGGAACCTGACCCCCAGGGGAATTCGCGGTGGAAATAACCGACGCTTTGTTCATAGCTGCGTATAATGAACCATCCTATAGTATTCAGTAATTTAGACAAATTAGCCTTTATTCATTTTGCATTAAAATTGTATTGTATAATAGTACTGGATACAATATCAAGAGTATTCTAATTATTGAGTTGAAGTCACTATCAGTGACGTCACGAATCAGATCTAACTTGTAAGGCGGAGTGACCGGCGGTCATAGGTCATCAGGGTTGACAGGTCTACTATTTCTCAAAGTTTTAATAACCATTTTTGTGATCGGGAACAGCTCTGCCGTTAGATGTTTGTGTAATTTAATTTCAGTAAAATAATTCAACCAGTCTGGATCAATTAAGTACAACAGAGGTTAATTGTTATAACTTAAACCTTGCTAGTAACTGGGTAGAACTTTGACTAGGCGGAAGGATACAATGTTCTGTCTGGGGTAGACCAGACAAGGACAAATCAGTGTGGTCACGGGAGCAGCTGGGAGAGGTCAAACATCTTACCTCTCCCCAAGACCAGCCCAACATCTTTAGCTGGTCGCCCAAGGTATAGTTGCTATTGTTAATTATAGAATAGTCTTCATTTGCCACTCAGGTCAAGTAGGGAGTGTTAAAGTGACAGGGAGTGAACATATTTAGATTTTGTTTTAGTTTTCTTTTAATAAATTAAATTTGTTAATATTTTGCATTTTATTATTTCCATGTGTTTTATGTGTAAACTTGTCCTGGTCACGTGGTCCACACGAGGTAGAGTTGTATTGGGCGCCGATTCTAACATCGAATCGGAATTATCATTACCGTGTAATTTATTCCACACTCAAGGTCATCGTATATAGTGGGGATCAAGCCCCAAGGTTGATTAATTAGCGTGATCGATCCAGACCTCGATCATTGCTCTTGTGTTACTGGTCTGGTGGTGGCAGCGTAGAGGCGACTCTAGGGTTTTGTTCAGAGCCTAGGTCACGTCATACTGGGTGTAGAATCCTAAGTCGGTCAATCGTCTTAGGACCACGTGGCGTGGAGTTGGCTTTGGTAAAAGTTTTGGAGTCCCTTGGTAGAGAATAAAAAGTAAGAATACGGGTAGAGGGAGTAGAAGGAAGGAAGTAGTCAGAGAGGAACCCAAACCCGTGTTACAATGCATTGTAACACGGGTTAGGGTTATGCATTGCATTGCATTGGCATTGGCAGCGTAGAGGCGACTCTAGGGTTTGCTCAAAGCCTAGGTCACGTCATACGCGGTGTAGAATCCTAAGTCGGTCAATCGTCTTACAACCACGTGGCGTGGAGTTGGCTTTGGTAAATATTTTTGGAGTCCCTGGTAGAGAATAAAAAGTAAGAATACGGGTAGAGGGCAAAGAAGGAAGTAGTCAGAGAGGAACCCTAACCCGTGTTACAATGCATTGTAACACGGGTTAGGGTTCCTCTCTCACTACTTCCTTCTTTGCCCTCTACCCGTATTCTTACTTTTAGATTCTCTACCAAGGGACTCATTGTAACACGGGTTAGGGTTCCTCTCTGACTTTACTTCCTTCTTTGCCCCCTCTACCCGTATTCTTACTTTTTATTCTCTACCAAGGGACTCCAAAACTTTTACCAAAGCCAACTCCACGCCACGTGGTCCTAAGACGATTGACCGACTTAGGATTCTACACCCAGTATGACGTGACCTAGGCTCTGAACAAAACCCTAGAGTCGCCTCTACGCTGCCACCACCAGACCAGTAACACAAGAGCAATGATCGAGGTCTGGATCGATCACGCTAATTAATCAACCTTGGGGCTTGATCCCCACTATAACCGATGACCTTGAGTGTGGAATAAATTACACGGTAATGATAATTCCGATTCGATGTTAGAATCGGCGCCCAATCCAACTCTTCCTCGTGTGGACCACGTGACCAGGACAAGTTTACACATAAAACACATGGAAATAATAAAATGCAAAATATTAACAAATTTAATTTATTAAAAGAAAACTAAAACAAAATCTAAATATGTTCACTCCCTGTCACTTTAACACTCCCTACTTGACCTGAATGGCAAATGAAGACTATTCTATAAATAACAATAGCAACTATACCTTGGGCGACCAGCTAAAGATGTTGGGCTGGTCTTGGGGAGAGGTAAGATGTTTGACCTCTCCCAGCTGCTCTGCGTGACACACTGATTTGTCCTCGTCTGGTCTAGCCCAGACTAGAACATTGTATCCTTCCGCCTAGTCAAAGTTCTACCAAGTTACTAGCCAGGTTTAAGTTATAACAATTAACCTCTGTTTGTACTGAATTGATCCAGACTGGTTGAATTATTTTACTGAAATTAAATTACACAAACATCTAACGGCAGAGCTGTTCCCGATCACCCAAAAATGGTTATTAAAACTTTGAGAAATAGTAGACCTGTCAACCCTGATGACCTATGACCGCCGGTCACTCCGCCTTACAAGTTAGATCTGATTCGTGACGTCACTGATGGTGACTTAAACTCAATAATTAGAATACTCTTGATATTGTATCCAGTACTATTATACAATACAATTTTAATGCCAAATGAATAAAGGCTAATTTTCTCTAAATTACTGAATACTATAGGATGGTTCATTATACGCAGCTATGAACAAAGCGTCGGTTATTTCCACCGCGAATTCCCCTGGGGGTCAGGTCACCATGCGGGCTCAGCTTCCCATTCTCTTTTGTCGATAAACCACTCTGGATCATTCTTACAACAGCCTAGTTTGTTACAGTGTGTGTTGGTGGTACACAGTCTGCCCAGCTTGGTGTGTGTTGGTGGTACACAGTCTGCCCAGCTTGGTGTGTGTTGGTGGTACACAGTCTGCCCAGCTTGGTGTGTGTTGGTGGTACAGTCTGCCCAGCTTGGTGTGTGTTGGTGGTACAGTCTGCCCAGCTTGGTGTGTGTTGGTGGTACAGTCTGCCCAGCTTGGTGTGTGTTGGTGGTACAGTCTGCCCAGCTTGGTGTGTGTTGGTGGTACAGTCTGCCCAGCTTGGTGTGTGTTGGTGGTACAGTCTGCCCAGCTTGGTGTGTGTTGGTGGTACACAGTCTGCCCAGCTTGGTGTGTGTTGGTGGTACAGTCTGCCAAGCTTGGTGTGTGTTGGTGGTACACAGTCTGCCCAGCTTGGTGTGTGTTGGTGGTACAGTCAGCCCAGCTTGGTGTGTGTTGGTGGTACAGTCTGCCCAGCTTGGTGTGTGTTGGTGGTACAGTCTGCCCAGCTTGGTGTCTCATTACAGCTGTATTTTGTAGCATTAATCTGTTGTTACAAAAGCCGCTTTTTACCAGTTTATCCGTCAATGTTATGGACGGTCTTCCTTAAGCTATTCACAGAACTAAATAAACTAAAATTATTTAGTTTAGTTCTGTGGTGAGTTGGTTAAATGACACAACCGCGTGTGTCTCATGCGTCAACCGCATGTGTCTCATGCGTCAACCGCATGTGTCTCATGCGTCAACCGCATGTGTCTCATGTGTCAACCGCATGTGTCTCATGCGTCAATCGCATGTGTCTCATGCGTCAACTGCATGTGTCTCATGCTTCAACCGCATGTGTCTCATGCGTCAACCGCATGTGTCATGCGTCAACCGCATGTGTCTCATGCGTCAATCGCATGTGTCTCATGCGTCAACCGCATGTGTCTCATGCGTCAACCGCATGTGTCTCATGCGTCAACCGCATGTGTCAACCGCATGTGTCTCATGCGTCAACCGCGTGTGTCTCATGCGTCAACCGCGTGTGTCTCATGCGTCAACCGCGTGTGTCTCATGCGTCAACCGCGTGTGTCTCATGCGTCAACCGCGTGTGTCTCATGCGTCAACTGCATGTGTCTCATGCGTCAACCGCATGTGTCTCATGCGTCAACCGCATGTGTCTCATGCGTCAACCGCATGTGTCTCATGCGTCAACCGCATGTGTCTCATGCGTCAATCGCATGTGTCTCATGCGTCAACTGCATGTGTCTCATGCGTCAACCGCATGTGTCTCATGCGTCAACCGCATGTGTCATGCGTCAACCGCATGTGTCTCATGCGTCAACCGCATGTGTCTCATGCGTCAACCGCATGTGTCTCATGCGTCAACCGCATGTGTCTCATGCGTCAACCGCATGTGTCTCATGCGTCAACCGCATGTGTCTCATGCGTCAACCGCATGTGTCTCATGCGTCAACCGTCTCATGCGTCAACCGCGTGTGTCTCATGCGTCAACCGCGTGTGTCTCATGCGTCAACCGCGTGTGTCGTCAACCGCGTGTGTCTCATGCGTCAACCGCGTGTGTCTCATGCGTCAACCGCGTGTGTCTCATGCGTCAACCGCATGTGTCTCATGCGTCAACCGCATGTGTCTCATGCGTCAACCGCATGTGTCTCATGCGTCAACCGCATGTGTCTCATGCGTCAACTGCATGTGTCTCATGCGTCAACTGCATGTGTCTCATGCGTCAACTGCATGTGTCTCATGCGTCAACTGCATGTGTCTCATGCGTCAACTGCATGTGTCTCATGCGTCAACTGCATGTGTCTCCTTGACTTGTATACATTAATGGGGGTAACTTCTCTGTCACAATTACGTTACAAAGCAATTTCTTGTGCATAGTTTAATTTAGTTATTCGATCTAATTATCCTGGCAGTAGTATGCAATTGCTTTCATTCATAACCTCATTATGTTAGCAGCATCAAGACATATACTCACGCAGTTTTATATTCCACTGTGGCAATAGTTATTTACACTATACACTTTAGTAGGGGCTGGTGGCCGAGGTCCTGCACATCAAACCACTCCCATGATGACAATGTCTACGACGCGATATATATAAAGGTGTGTGTTGACTAGACCACACACTAGAAGGTGAAGGGACGACGACATTTCGATCCGTCCTGGATCATTCTCAAATCGATTTGAGAATGGTCCAGGACGGACCGAAACGTCGTCGTCCCTTCACATTCTAGTGTATGGTCTGGTCAACTTACTTTAGCCACGTTATTGTGACTCATCGCCTACAATAAAGGTGTGTGTGTTGGGCAGGAGACATGGGCGGCATCCAGTGTTGTGGTGAGAGCGGCCGACACCTGGTGGACGCCGCCGTCCGCCACCCGGCCTGCTTCCCCATCGAGATCCCCGCCGACGACCCCTTCTTCGGTGGGACTGGTCGCCGCTGTATGAACTTCGTCAGGTCCCTGCTCGCCCCCCGCGCCGACCCATGTACTCTGGGACACGGTGAACAGGTGAGCAAGGTGCAGGCTCGAGTTACTGTGTCTCTAATATTGACGCATTATAATCAGCTCACCGTCGCCGCACTTAACTCTGTAGAGTGCAAGTGTTCCACTCAAGATGCAGGCGATGAGTCACAATAACGTGGCTAAAGTATGATGACAAGTCCCTTCACATTCTAGTGTGTGGTCGACGACGTTTCGGTCCGTCCTAGACCATTCTCAAGTCACAATCGACTTGAGAATGGTCCAGGACGGACCGAAACGTCGTCGTCCCCTCACATTCTAGTGTGTGGTCTTGTCATTCCACTCAAGATCCTCCAGCTTGAGCAACTGGTACAGTGTAAAGCTTACAACCCATCAACCGCGAGAGAGTTATCAACACCACACAAGCTCAGTAACCAACCACCAAGTGTACTTGAGTGCTGGAAATACTCCCAGACTAAGGCAGACACTTGGTGTGTATAGTCACGGGTCATGAAGCTTGGGAAGAAGCCTATATATCTCTGTTCTGCAATTATAACACAAATCAATTTTTATTTTATTTTATAAAGTTCTGCTTTTCACACGAGTTAAAAATATGCAAAATATTGAAAAATATATTTACATAAAATTCCGTATATCTTAAATATATAGAAATTTATATAAATATAATTACAATTTTAACTTACCAAACTCAAACAATTTAGTAAGAATACAATCCATAATTTCCTGATTTCTCTTATATGAATCATTGGAGAGCACAAATAAATATGGTAGACCAGGAAAAAGAAGCCTAAAAAAAAATATCTTATACTAAACCCGTTTGCATCAATATGTTTGAGTGTGAGGAATTGCCGACATCCTCAAAAATACTTTTAATTAATGACTTTTATATGTAATTAGACAGTTTACCTTATTATTATGTAACAGTTACGTCAACTCTTGTTAATTTCAGAGATTTAAAGGCACAATGCAATTATTATAACTTTATGTAGTTAAACACGTCAAAAGACATACAATGTTGACCTTGGACGAACCCTTATACATCACTTGGCATTAGCCGCACGCTAAGGTACCTCTCCCCGCCAGATGAACCAGGTCACGCACTACCTGGACGGGTCCAACATCTACGGGTCGAGCCGCCAGGAGGAGCAGACGCTGCGACTGTTCCGTGGCGGCCTCCTGGTGGTGCAGGAGCGGGACCTCCTCCCTCCTGACTCGTCAGTCACGGAGTGCCAGTCCACTAGCCACGGAAATTCTTGTTTCAAGGCTGGTAAGTATTTTTGTTCTCTGTTCAACGGTTCAGTCTTGCCTCTGCACCAACCCTAAGTGTTCAGTCTTGCCTCTGCACGAGAGCTAAGTGTTCAGTCTTGCCTCTGCACGAGAGCTAAGTGTTCAGTCTTGCCTCTGCACGAGACCTAAGTGTTCAGTCTTGCCTCTGCACGAGACCTAAGGGTTCAGTCTTGCCTCTGCACGAGACCTAAGTGTTCAGTCTTGCCTCTGCACGAGAGCTAAGGGTTCAGTCTTGCCTCTGCACGAGACCTAAGTGTTCAGTCTTGCCTCTGCACGAGAGCTAAGGGTTCAGTCTTGCCTCTGCACGAGACCTAAGTGTTCAGTCTTGCCCTAAGTGATTCCACACATAAATTCCTTATTTCCAGAGCTGTTAACTTGTCTTCTTCAGCTTCCATGTTGTACTTTCGTTCATTAGTTCATCTGTGTGTACACGTTCCATACACTCACTTGTTCATCTGTGTACACGTTCCATACACTCACTTGTTCATCTGTGTGTACACGTTCCATACACTCACTTGTTCATCTGTGTGTACACGTTCCATACACTCACTTGTTCACCTGTGTGTACACGTTCCATACACTCACTTGTTCATCTGTGTGTACACGTTCCATACACTCACTTGTTCATCTGTGTGTACACGTTCCATACACTCACTTGTTCACCTGTGTGTACACGTTCCATACACTCACTTGTTCACCTGTGTGTACACGTTCCATACACTCACTTGTTCATCTGTGTGTACACGTTCCATACACTCACTTGTTCATCTGTGTGTACACGTTCCATACACTCACTTGTTCACCTGTGTGTACACGTTCCATACACTCACTTGTTCATCTGTGTGTACACGTTCCATACACTCACTTGTTCACCTGTGTGTACACGTTCCATACACTCACTTGTTCATCTGTGTGTACACGTTCCATACACTCACTTGTTCACCTGTGTGTACACGTTCCATACACTCACTTGTTCATCTGTGTGTACACGTTTGTTCATCAATCCTTCGTTAGTCTTACACTACATGCATCTCTTCATCCATAGATTTAATAGATTGATGAAGATTAAGCCACCCAAGAGGTGGCATGGGCATGAATAACCCGTAACTTTCCTTGAGTATAAACAAACTATTTCAATGTTTCTTTGTAAGATTTGCATCATCTTCAGAATGATTTCACCGTGGCTGGTAATTACCTAACTACATTGTGCGGCGCCTTGAGAGCCACGTCGTCTTGCCTATATATTGAGTGTTGATGCGGGCAGTCCCCCAAGTGTTCATATGAAGCCATGGATTCTAAACAGTCTCCGTGGTGTAGTGGTAAGACACTCGCCTGGCGTTCCGCGAGCGCTATGTCATAGGTTCGTATCCTGGCCGGGGAGGATTTACTGGGCGCAATTCCTTAACTGTAGCCTCTGTTTAACGCAACAGTAAAATGTGTACTTGGATGAAAAAACGATTCTTCGCGGCGGGGATCGTATTCCAGGGACCTGCCCGAAACGCTACGCGTACTAGTGGCTCTACAAGAATGTAACAACTCTTGTATATATCTCAAAAAAAATTTGTTCAGAAAATACACAACGTCAACGCTACATCAGACATTATAATTTCCTCAGGCAAACAGATCACCAGGAGAGTCCTACAGAAACACAGTAATAATACAACGCAATACAAGCCGGTTTTATCTGTTAGTCTTATGATTCCAGACTTGTGTGACACACTGTATAATGCATTTTCTGTACATTATTCTGTATCGAGGGAAAACTCGATCATTATGGTTTATGGCAAATTTTGACATCCAGGGAATGATATTTTTGCATCATTTTTGAAGCTGTCTCTCCTATTATGGCTTTAGGAGCTTGTCTGTCGCTAGAGAGACTTTAACTCTCACAGCCAATACCATTGTTGTCATGTAAAATCTCTCTCTTACACGAAGTTATGGTTCCAGAGATATTAAAATCAATCATCCACTGGCAGGAGACGGTCGCGTCAATCAGCAAATAGAACTGGCCATCATCCACACCGTGTGGGTGAGGATGCACAACCGCATCGCCCGGGAGCTGGCCCGTCTCAACCCCCACTGGTCAGACGAGACCATCTACCAGGAGACCAGGAAGATAGTGGTGGCCATCTACCAGCACATCATCTACAACGAGTGGCTCCCTCTCGTCCTAGGTCAGTGGTTACCAACCTTTTATATACCTCACCAGTAGAAAATTTGTGATTCACGTTGGGAGCCCTGCAGAGGTTGTATCCCATTTGAAGATGAAGTTAAAACTCATATTTTAGAACCATATACATTATTGCGAGTAAACAAATTCAACGCAAAATATAAGATTTTAACTCGATGCATAAAATTTAGATATAAGTTGAGCAATTAGAACAAATTATAAACGTTAAAATTAATCCCAGTTCTGAACATAAAATTCAGTGACTTCTTTGTTCCTGCTTATCGTTCACGATTTTGTCAAAACAAGAAACTTTCTTGCAGATTGCAATCCGCAAGCTGGCTGTGGTCTCGGGCGATTTCTAGATTTTGTTTTGAGTGTTAAAACGAGAACTAAATCCAGATTCTCACAAGTACGTTGTTGCAAATAATTTGAGGACACAGGGTGCTTTTCCACCATGTCTTGAGAACACATTCAAAACTCTTTGAAGGAGTTTTGAACAGTAAAACTCCTTCAAAGTCTAGCTTTCAAATTGCATTTTGATATGTATGCAATCAATAAAAATCTTCCTTCAGTTCATCATCTCACATTTTCTGCAAATTGAAGAAACATGGATTCATCATCCGCTACGAGGCTACAAACATGGATTCATCATCCGCTACGAGGCTACAAACATGGATTCATCATCCGCTACGAGGCTACAAACATGGATTCATCATCCGCTACGAGGCTACAAACACAACTCCATTTCCTTGTTCTTGACATGATGAAGGTTTACCTGCTGAACATAACAAATATATGAGCTAAACTACCTGACCAAAGAGTCCATTTTGACAAATTCTATGTCCAAACAATACAACCAAAATAATATTATATAAAAGTCATATGACATACATGATAATTTAGGACAGATCCAACAAGTAAAAATTGTCAACCTGCTTTTCCTGAGAAGATCTGTGAAAATTAACCCATAAGGGAGAAGATTCTCGATTTCAACCGGAAATCGTTACTAATTTTAAGTGTTTTAGTTCTGTTAATTTTGCATATATTATTTCCAAAATGTTATGTTCCTTATTTAGTATTACTTGCCTCTTAACATTTTTAAAGGAAATTCGGCGATGATTAAGTATTTCATATTCTACCTTTTTGTGATCTTTAATGATTTTGTTGACAAGAGTTTGACACCTGGGCGGAACATCCTGACATTCTGATAAAGAGATCTGGTCGAGGACCGGACAACGGACCCTGTTAATTGAGCCCCGAAATCATCGCAAAGTAACCTGTGCCAGCCTCCCATAGCAGGTTTTACTGTATTCGTCAGCGGATCAAATCTGGTAAATGGGGACGCAGCCTCGCTCTCAGTCGCAGCCCCTGAAGGCTGCGTACCTTCAGGGACTGCATGCCCCTGGGAGTACAGCGCCCCGGGTTGGGAACCCCGGTTCCACGTGGAGATCCTTCTCCTTGCCTCGGCTATTGTTAGCAAGAGAGGCATTACCTGATTACTTGTAGTTACTGTTGGTGATTAGTGGTAATAGTAGTGATTGACTAGTTAGATCTAACAAGCAGCTGCGGGTACCACTGAGTGACGCCGCCCAGAACTCGTATAGTGACCACCTTCAAGTTTTGTTTCCGTAGTGTTTCCGGATCACAACTACATGTACTAGGCCATCCTGGGGTGACATCTTCCGTGGCACCGGCTCACCACGATGTGCAGGTCCCTCCCTGACGTGACCCCGGGTGTCTGTGACCTCCCGTGACCTGACCTGAACCTTGTGTGACCTCACAGGGAAGGACTATATGGCCGAGAACGGACTACTGCCGCTGCGGGAGGGCTTCTCCAGGGGCTACGACAGCGGCCTTAACGCGGCTTTATTGAACGAGTTCGCCACAGTGGCCTTCCGCTTCGGTCACTCCCTCGTCCAGGGCATGATTGAGTAAGTCACCAGTATGATCACTTATATTAATAACACTAACAGTGTAATAACCCATAACAACCTTTCATAACTTACTGATAACCAATAACATCTACTTCTTACTAATCTTCATCCAATAGCAGAATTTCCCTCGCTGCTCGACAGTCGTCCCTCACATAAGACGACTCAGGATGGCGACTGTGTAGATGCTTCACTACATCACATAAGACGACTCAGGATGGCGACTGTGTAGATGCTTCACTACATCACAAATACGACTCAGGATGGCGACTGTGTACATGCTTCACTACATCACAAATACGACTCAGGATGGCGACTGTGTAGATGCTTCACTACATCACAAATACGGCTCAGGATGGCGACTGTGTAGATGCTTCACTACATCACAAATACGACTCAGGATGGCGACTGTGTAGATGCTTCACTACATCACAAATACGACTCAGGATGGCGACTGTGTAGATGCTTCACTACATCACAAATACGACTCAGGATGGCGACTGTGTAGATGCTTCACTACATCACAAATACGACTCAGGATGGCGACTGTGTAGATGCTTCACTACATCACAAATACGACTCAGGATGGCGACTGTGTAGATGCTTCACTACATCACAAATACGACTCAGGATGGCGACTGTGTAGATGCTTCACTACATCACAAATACGACTCAGGATGGCGACTGTGTAGATGCTTCACTACATCACAAATACGACTCAGGATGGCGACTGTGTAGATGCTTCACTACATCACAAATATAAAATGTTTTGATATAATCTGTCTTAAGAAAAATCTGGTTATACCAGATAGTCTAAATTCTGATATAACCAGAACTTCTAATTAACCTAACTCAACCCAACCCAACCAAACCTAACCCTATCCAACCCAATCCAGCCTAACCCTATCCAACCCAATCCAGCCTTACCCTATCCAACCCAATCCAGCCTTACCCTATCCAACCCAATCCAGCCTAACCTAACCCAAGCTAACCTAGCCTGGGTCTACCTACATATAAACTTACAAGTTGTGATATTATTACTTTGATTTTTAAGAAATACCATTTATTTTTAGCTCACCAACTGAAATATTTGTCCAGCAAGTCTAATGCCAAGTGTATTCATCCAGTGAGTCAATGGTCAAGTGTATTCATCCAGTGAGTCAATGGTCAAGTGTGTTCATCCAGTGAGTCAATGGTCAAGTGTATTCATCCAGTGAGTCAATGGTCAAGTGTGTTCATCCAGTGAGTCAATGGTCAAGTGTATTCATCCAGTGAGTCAATGGTCAAGTGTATTCATCTAGTGAGTCAATGGTCAAGTGTATTCATCTAGTGAGTCAATGGTCAAGTGTATTCATCTAGTGAGTCAATGGTCAAGTGTATTCATCTAGTGAGTCAATGGTCAAGTGTATTCATCCAGTGAGTCAATGGTCAAGTGTATTCATCCAGTGAGTCAATGATCAAGTGTATTCATCTAGTGAGTCAATGGTCAAGTGTATTCATCCAGTGAGTCAATGGTCAAGTGTGTTCATCCAGTGAGTCAATGGTCAAGTGTATTCATCCAGTGAGTCAATGGTCAAGTGTATTCATCCAGTGAGTCAAGGCTCAGATGTATTCATCAAATACAGCAGATTGATGACGAAAAGAACCTTAGAGTTAAAATCCACCACTCAATGAAAATTGTACAACAGGTGGGAGCAGCTCTCAGAAAAGCAAAATAAACACTTGAAATAACTGAGTGTACTTTTGACTTCAAGGGAAGGAGGTAGTGATTCAACTGTTTAAAGCTCTGGTGCGGCCCATTTGTATTGCTGTATCCAGGCATGGAGACCTCATCATCAGAAGAACACAGCTTCTCTCGAGAAGTGCAACACCGGGCAACAAAAATCATTCCAGAGATAAGTCAGCTCACGTATCAGGAACGGTTGAGGGCCATGTCGGAAAATCCGACACCATTTAATATATCATAAAGATAATAGCTGTATTACCAACAAGTTAACCCATAGAAAACGTAACTTGTAGTGGAATTACCGTCTAAAGAAAACGGGATATCATCACCACATACTATTATATTCTCCACCTATTATGGTGGGAATTATTCTTAAATACATTAGTCTTTGGACTTTACCATCATAAAAACATCTTATATAAATTAACTTAATTATCAATATTAAAGTAGAGTAAATGTGACCCTTCTATCACTTTCTGAAATCTGGACAATGTAAGCCAGGCGTGAGTGGGGAAGGAGGGCAGCCATTGTTGAGACTAGACCAGAGGCTCACAGGAGCAAATACGGCTCCTGTTAAATTTACTTGGACGTAGTGTTATGGAAACCAGAAGTGTACCATTATCAACACGCTGTCTACAAATCAAGTTAAGTGTTCTTTCCAAAACCCATGTATCTTCATTTTTGGCCATTAATGTCATTATATAGGGTGACCCGGTTAGAGCACGTGGAAGCCTCAAACTAAAGGTAATTAAGCCAGGTCTTTATTGTTCCATGTATAGTGTTTTCTCTGATATAGCTTGTCATATATAGAATCTGGCTTCACAGCTAGCGCCCTTTTAACAGGTCAAGACGAGGAAGCAAGATTTTGTGCACCAGTTACTGGGTGATGGAAGCTACCTCAAAGAGGATAATTTGGTGTCTACACCCTAGTTATACCTGGTGGACTAACCTGCTGTACTATAAGATAAGGAACCTTTTCAATGTATGTAGTCTAATTCTGTAGTTTGATTGGCTGCATATATATAAACTAATAAACCCCCCCTAATGTGTAGAGGATCGATTTGTGAGATTGAGATTATTGCAGAAATACAGTCCACTTATCATTATACAAATTGCTATCGAAGTATATAAATTAACGTAAATATAAATTCATATAAATTAAATAAATATAAATCTCACAGGTCGGTTCCCACATTATTTGGTCCTTCGAACCGGATTATTCGGTCCTATGAACCCACATTTGGTCATCTTAGTACCGGATGAACCAGTTAACCAGTGGATTCATTAAATATACTAGTGCAGTGTGATTTAAACAAAGCCAGCAGTCATGACGGCGGCGTTGACTCGTGCAAGTACACGAGCCCCGCTCAGTTCAGATAAGCCTTAGTCAGCGGTTTCATGCACACCCACAGATTTGGTGGAGTGTTATTCTGTGAAATGACAGCGCTAATATAGAAGCCAGCCAAATTAGTGGCTGTGTCCTCGCAAGATTGTTCACGGATTTCGTGGTGTTAAATTTCGCGAGAGATTATCTACGAATTTTGTGGAGTTTATTTTGCGAGGTCACTAATAATATTTAATACTTCTAGATAATATTAGAAGTTTCATAGAGGCAATTAAGAGGCTATTATCAATAATTGTGTATATTATTTCTCCAAAATAGAGAATTATTTAATATATATTGCACTAGTGTTCACAATATAATATTTACTAATTGCCAACCCACAACAGGGTAGGAAATTACCATTGACTAGTTGAACTATTATTGCTCATCCTAGTCCCATTATTACCATAGTCAGTTAGTTGTACTATGTTGAACAACCTAATACCATTAATGAATGGTCCAGACCCTATTTTGGGTGTAATTTTTATCAACTCGAGTTGAGTTGTATATATAATAATTTACTTATGATCATTACACCTTTGAGTGATTAATTAGTGTCTATTCCATCCTAGGGTGATATAGAAGAGCTAACCTAAAGGTACTTCCAGTGACACTGGTTTATCACTGAAATCATTAGTGTGTATGATTGTATATATATAATGTGTATTAATTTTAAGTGCTAACCTCTAGTAGAGGTTGGATTATTGCCTAGTAAGTGCAGAATTTACCCTAGGCTACCATTAGTACTTGCTCACAATTTATGAGCCAGTGGTGCTCAATTAACAAGTCACCATGACTAATCCACAGAAAGCAAAGCGTGCTTTAATAGCAAGCAAACGCCAACTAACAAGGGATCTCAACCAATATGAACAGTTGTTATATGAGCCTGTAATTAATTATCATCGGTTGAAAATACCACTGTTACAGATTCAAACCCAATTGCATATATTGAAAGCAAATAGGAAATCTTACCAAAATCAAGTCCACGATGACGTAGTAGTTGAAGATGTGGAACCATTCCTGTCTGACCTAGCACAATATGAAGAAGAAACTCAAGGCAGGTTGGAACATTTACACAGGATAATTGAATCAGAACAAATAGCAAGTACATCAAATAAAGTAGATAATGTTATGGATGATCTGGATCTTTTTGAGAATAAATGTAAAGCCAGATTAGATCCTTTAATCAACAAGGATAAAGCTTCACCCAGTAAAGCTTCACCCACTACAGCTTCACCTAATATTATACCACCAGAAATTAAGCAGTTTTCAGACAATTTATCCACAGTCTCTGTGGTTTCTGAAAACCCAATACCTGAAGCTACTAAGTTAACATGCCTCCAAACTAGAGGTGAAGCTGAACCAGTAGTAGAAAATGTAAATGAAAATAGCGACAGCACTAATTTCCCAGTCCAGCCTCCTAGGAATAATGCTGGCAATGAGAAAACTGTCATACATCTAGTACTACAATTGCTGGATTTACCTCAACCTGATCAGACTGCTGACTCATTACAATCCTTCAGCATGGAGTTTGAGTCACTACTAAGAACATTCAGTCTTAAGGTTGATATAACTACAGGTGAATGGATGACCAAAGTAGTCCTTCAACGAAAATTGTCCAGCGATATACTAGATGAATTATATGCACATCAACATAACACCATCCTGACAGTACAGGACATCACTGAAGGTTTACATTCCATCATAAACAAACGACGAGCAAATGAGGAAGTTAAAGCCTCATGCAAGCCTTCAGAAATAGAAAATAATAGTCAATTAAAGGGTAAAACAACTACCCCAAATAAACATCAGTCAATTACTCAAACATCAATTTGCAGAAAATCTGACAATGCAGCAGCATCCTCCAAGCCTACTGTTACTAGTTCACCCAAACCGGTAACTTCCAAACGTGCAGTAGGCTGGAGGACATGTATGTTCTGCAAAAAGAAACATTCAACATACCGTTGTGCTAATTATCCAACCAGAGACACTCGTATGGAGCGACTCCAGGAATTAGGGAGATGTGCAAGGTGTCTCAAGTCACACAACATAGACTATTGTGATACCCAATTCAACACCTGCAACAGGTGTAGAAGAGGTAGACACCATGCAGCACTGTGCAAATATACGAAATTAACGTATTCAAGACCCAAGGTGGAAGATAGCATTCCCACCACAGTACAGTACTGCAAGGTGCAACAAACAGTGTCCAATCGGCAAAGTCTAAAGGTAATACGACTTTGCCTACTGCCCAAATTACCATCCTGAATAAGAGGGCCAAGGTCCATACCCGTGGGTTGTTTGACCAAGGATCCCAGAGAACATATATCACTAAAAAGCTGGCAGATGAACTACAATTAAGGCCTGTAGTCCAGACGTCATTCAACATCTCAGGGTTTGTAACAGATGCAGGACCTCAAGTCTACCAGGTGGTACAACCATCAGTACGCTTAGGCAGGTACGTCTGTCGAGTACAAGCCATTGTGGTGGACAAAATACCAGTAGACCTACAAGTTCAAGGTCTGAGAGCAACAGCCAAATTCCCGAGAAATAGAGGAATAAAATTGGCAGATAATATTAAGTCTGATCACCTCACCGACTTCGGTCTCCTTGTAGGGACAGACTATTGCCATCGATTCATCGGTAGCCCTACTAAATATCAGGGCATAACCATGTTAAACTCTGCAGGAGGTAAATTACTCTCAGGCCCAGTATCAAGCCTGGGGAGACCTATGCCTGCAGATAAACAATACCAATAGAAATCTAAATTTGTCAGCTGATTATATTTCTCCAGTAGCATTATACTAAGGAGATAGCTGACTATACCAACAGAGGTTGATGTTAGTATCATCATTTAAAGCTGGAGATGAGTTCATGAGGCCTCAGTGGCAAATCAGTGAACAGTAGCCTAAAACAGCTACAAGTCACTGCGACCAATGTCACTGAACCCACTGCAGTCTCAGAACCATACTTTACTTTAATGATGAGCTATTCAATCTTCTGAATCAATTAACTAAATTAAACCCCAATAAATCTGATGACTGAATTGATACATTTATTATTTAATCAAGATGTATTCCATGGGCCTCAGTGTTTGTATATCAGTGACCAGTTACCTGAACAAACTTCAAGTTATATCTAATGTCACTGATCTCACTGCAGTCCCTGAATCATACTTGACTGTAGTACTTGATCACATTCAGTCTTCTGGGTTAAATAATATGTATAAGGCTTGAATATTAGCCTTTCAAGAGTTGACAGGGAAATGAAATCGCATTAGACTTCTAACCCCTGCAACTCTAGTACGGGACATCCGTCCTGTACGAACAGACACACAAATGTGTGATTACTAACTACTAACAACAAATTAATCTAATAATTCGAAGGAGGAGTATCGGTGTTCGTCTGTTCTAATTAGGACTTCGACCCGTGAGCAGCCCCTGGGGAATTATGTCGGAAAATCCGACACCATTTAATATATCATAAAGATAATAGCTGTATTACCAACAAGTTAACCCATAGAAAACGTAACTTGTAGTGGAATTACCGTCTAAAGAAAACGGGATATCATCACCACATACTATTATATTCTCCACCTATTATGGTGGGAATTATTCTTAAATACATTAGTCTTTGGACTTTACCATCATAAAAACATCTTATATAAATTAACTTAATTATCAATATTAAAGTAGAGTAAATGTGACCCTTCTATCACTTTCTGAAATCTGGACAATGTAAGCCAGGCGTGAGTGGGGAAGGAGGGCAGCCATTGTTGAGACTAGACCAGAGGCTCACAGGAGCAAATACGGCTCCTGTTAAATTTACTTGGACGTAGTGTTATGGAAACCAGAAGTGTACCATTATCAACACGCTGTCTACAAATCAAGTTAAGTGTTCTTTCCGAAACCCATGTATCTTCATTTTTGGCCATTAATGTCATTATATAGGGTGACCCGGTTAGAGCACGTGGAAGCCTCAAACTAAAGGTAATTAAGCCAGGTCTTTATTGTTCCATGTATAGTGTTTTCTCTGATATAGCTTGTCATATATAGAATCTGGCTTCACAGCTAGCGCCCTTTTAACAGGTCAAGACGAGGAAGCAAGATTTTGTGCACCAGTTACTGGGTGATGGAAGCTACCTCAAAGAGAATAATTTGGTGTCTACACCCTAGTTATACCTGGTGGACTAACCTGCTGTACTATAAGATAAGGAACCTTTTCAATGTATGTAGTCTAATTCTGTAGTTTGATTGGCTGCATATATATAAACTAATAAACCCCCCCTAATGTGTAGAGGAGCGATTTGTGAGATTGAGATTATTGCAGAAATACAGTCCACTTATCATTATACAAATTGCTATCGAAATATATAAATTAACGTAAATATAAATTCATATAAATTAAATAAATATAAATCTCACAGGTCGGTTCCCACAGGCCACACAGCTAACAACACTAATAACCAGGCATGATAGGGCGAACCTTATTAAAACTTTTAAAATGCTGAACAATTTGGAGAATGTTGATCCGGAAAAGATGTAACACAAACAAGGAGCGACGGTGTCACGCTTAACAAGCCACAATGTAGGACTCGGAACAGGAGACACTTTTTCACCCACAGGGTTATTAACCCATGGAACCGCTTACCCGCCGAAGCCGTAAATGCTAAAACTGTTAAAAGTACAATTGAAAAAGATTATCAAGGCAAATGAGGGGACCTTCGACACGCCGCCGACTTCCTGTCCTCACCGAGGCCACTAGTGCTAGTGGCCCTCATACCCTTATAATGAGTTCGGAGTGAGTATATTATTGGGATAATCTACTCGCTACAAATATGATAAAATACAGTTATGACATAACTGTATTTTACATAACGGGCATACACTCGGGGGATGTTAGCAGCTTACGCGAGAAGGACTTGAAGCTTGTGTGTATTAATGTGTGTATAATGTATGTATGTGTGTGTGGCGGCAGGCTGGTGGACGCGACGGGGGCCGTGCAGGACGCCATGCCGCTGTATGAGAACTTCCACAACCCGGGACCCGTCTACACCCCCGGCAGGCTGGACGACCTCCTCCGCGGCCTGGCCACACAACCCATCCAGCAGCTGGACAACTTCGTCACCTCTTCACTCACCAACAGACTCTTCCAGGTGTGTAGACGATCGTGGAGGCTGATGACTGATGACCCAACCACACACCAGAACATGAGACGACGACGACGTGTCGGTCCGTCGTGGACACGTCATGATATTGGTCCAGGACGGACCGAAACGTCGGCGTTTCTCCATCTTGTGAGGTGAGGTCGGTCGTGATGTCTTCCCCGGGTGTTCTCGCCACTCATAGTATTATTAAGTGACAACAACACAGTAACAACTACCTAAGACGACTAGACCACGACATGGCACAAGTAATGCAACCTGGGATTCGACTGAACCCTCGAGGGTTCCTGAGGCTTCCACTGAAGCAGTACCCGGGTGTTGACACACGCCCGCTGCCACGCTCTGTCGTCCAGGACCTGTACCCACCAAGGAGGTCTCTTGGTACTAACACATTAAATAACCCTTCAACAATTTCGGCTTCGCGTGACGCCAAACAGGAAAGGGAACAATAATGGTTCACTTTCGGGGTAAATAAATAAATCATATTATTACTTAAACATTAACTTAATGTTACAAAAAAAATAATACTTTAGATAGTTAACTGTTAGCTCGGATAAACTGGGTAGTTACCAGCTAAATATCAACAGTTAAAGAGAAGTGGGCGCCGCTGGCCGCCCTCACGAGCACCACCTGGGGGCCAGGGAAGCCACCTGGGGGCCAGGGAAGCCACCTGGGGGCCAGGGAAGCCACCCGGGGGCCAGGGAAGCCACCTGGGGGGCCAGGGAAGCCACCTGGGGGGCCAGGGAAGCCACCTGGGGTCCAGGGAAGCCACCTGGGGTCCAGGGAAGCCACCCGGGGGTCCAGGGAAGCCACCCGGGGGTCCAGGGAAGCCACCTGGGGGCCAGGGAAGCCACCCGGGGGGCCAGGGAAGCCACCCGGGGGGCCAGGGAAGCCACCCGGGGGGCCAGGGAAGCCACCCGGGGGGCCAGGGAAGCCACCCGGGGGGCCAGGGAAGCCACCCGGGGGGCCAGGGAAGCCACCCGGGGGGCCAGGGAAGCCACCCGGGGGGCCAGGGAAGCCACCCGGGGGGCCAGGGAAGCCACCCGGGGGCCAGGGAAGCCACCCGGGGGGCCACGGAAGCCACCCGGGGGGCCACGGAAGCCACCTGGGGGCCAGGGAAGCTACCTGGGGGCCAGGGAAGCCACCTGGGGGGCCAGGGAAGCCACCTGGGGTGCCAGGGAAGCCACCTGGGGGCCAGGGAAGCCACCTGGGGCCCAGGGAAGCCACCTGGGGCCCAGGGAAGCCACCTGGGGGTCAGGGAAGCCACCTGGGGGCTAGGGAAGCCACCTAGGGGCCAGGGAAGCCACCTGGGGGTCAGGGAAGCCACCTGGGGGCCAGGGAAGCCACCTAGGGGCCAGGGAAGCCACCTAGGGGCCAGGGAAGCCACCTGGGGGTCAGGGAAGCCACCTGGGGGCCAGGGAAGCCACCTGGGGTGCCAGGGAAGCCACCTGGGGTGCCAGGGAAGCCACCTGGGGTGCCAGGGAAGCCACCTGGGGGTCAGGGAAGCCACCTGGGGGTCAGGGAAGCCACCTGGGGGTCAGGGAAGCCACCTGGGGGTCAGGGAAGCCACCTGGGGGGCCAGGGAAGCCACCTGGGGGCCAGGGAAGCCACCTGGGGGGCCAGGGAAACCACCTGGGGGTCAGGGAAGCCACCTGGGGGGCCAGGGAAGCCACCTGGGGGTCAGGGAAGCCACCTGGGGGGCCAGGGAAGCCACCTGGTTTAGACAGACACCGTTACGTCAATGACTACTGATAATTACTTATCAGTAATACGACCACTGATAATTACAACGACCATGATAATTAGTAATCAACAGTTTAGCTAAAATATTAACAAAACTTTACCAGCATTATTCCTCCACAGACATACATTCTGTGATATATCTTACTACTCTGCTAAGTGGGTGACATGTTCTTGATATATATATTCATAAACAAAAGGAGAAGAGTTTCAGCAGCAACTGTTGATGTTCCAGACTCGAGAGATGCCCGTGGGGATGGACCTGGTGGCCCTCAACACCCAGCGGGCCAGGGACCACGGGGTCGCCCCCTACAATGACCTGAGGGCAGCGTGTGGACTCACAAGGGCCAAGACCTTCCAAGACCTGCTGGATGTTCTTCCTCCCAAGGTCAGGTTTTATAAGAATTTATATAAAGAAGGTTTTGTATGTTGATATGGAACCTATCTTCTAACCTCACTAACAACTTCGAACCTGTTGCCCGGCGCCTTCTTCTTGAAACCCATAATTGTTTTATGGACCTCTTGCAATGGTTGTGTTTCATAAGGTGGCAGTCCTCGAGTATGTTGTTAAGGTCTATTGTTTGCGTCGGGAGTAGTGCTGCAGCTCTGTTATCGACTCGAGTTGTAATTTCCCTTTCATTAATGGAGCAAAAAATTTAATTTTCTTCCGGGTTTATCCTGAATATTTTTTCCCAGAACTTCCTGTTCTTGTTCTCTCTCCTCATAGAGTTTATTTCCTGAGGCGTCTATGATGTAGGGTGTTTCCTCAGAAGAGCTTCCCATCAGGGTCTTTACTTTTTTCCAGAACTTTCCTGGGTTTCTGGAGTCGACTTGGATTTTGCTTATTAGGTCATCCCATTGTTTGGTGTACTCTGTTTTGCATAGTTCCTGCAGCTCATCTTGTAGTTCAATACAACACAATGATAGGGAGCTGGTCAAGACACGTGCTGGTCCGGTCTTCACATTCTGTCCAGGTCTTATTACAGACTTCGTGAGAAGCTGTAAAATCCACATGGACACAAATATGTTGTTGGGAGACGTGAAGGAGAAGGAACAGCTTCCTCAGCATCACGTGGGAGTGACCAGGATGTCTTACACTACACCTTAATAACACATTGTTTCTCTAAGAGATCGCAAGCATTAAAGACGGCCACAAGGTCAATAAGTTCTTCAATATAATCTTTATATTTTCTAACTAGCTGAAATCCGCTTCAGAAATATCTGGGAAGTATATGTAAAGTTTATCTTGCAGAGAAGAAACTTGTGGCAGTATTGACCTTGCTGCCTGAGTATTGATGACCAGCATGCCAGCAGCAAGGGTCATAAACCTGTCAACCTGTCAAGCTGTCAACCTGTCAAGCACTTGTCTTGACCTTTACTTCCATCTGCATCATTTATAATTTCACTACAAAACTATTCTATCCAAAAAATTCTGCTATAAGGTTAGCTCCTTGTAAAGTTTTGTTGAGAATATTTAGGGGAGTATATGTATGAAGAGGAGGAGCTATGTGGTGTGTAACTCACTTGGGACCACTGAACTGTGCCTGATGAAGAGGAGCTATGTGGTGTGTAACTCACTTGGGACCACTGAACTGTGCCTGATGAAGAGGAGCTATGTGGTGTGTAACTCACTTGGGACCACTGAACTGTGCCTGACACAGCTCACATTCCTTCTCCACATTACTGCAGAAGAACTCTGAGTTGGTCCTGTAGGTCAGAACCATTCATGGTAACACTTCCTCGAGTTAAACACTGAACCTCTGTCAATGTCTTCACTTCCTCAGCAGGCAGTCTTACAAGCTGCAGCTTGCCTGTGTACCAACAGTGTTACAGCTTGCCTGTGTACCAACAGTGTTACAGCTTGCCTGTGTACCAACAGTGTTACAGCTTGCCTGTGTACCAACAGTGTTACAGCTTGCCTGTGTACCAACAGTGCTACAGCTTGCCTGTGTACCAACAGTGTTACAGCTTGCCTGTGTACCAACAGTGTTACAGCTTGCCTGTGTACCAACAGTGTTACAGCTTGCCTGTGTACCAACAGTGCTACAGCTTGCCTGTGTACCAACAGTGCTACAGCTTGCCTGTGTACCAACAGTGCTACAGCTTGCCTGTGTACCAACAGTGTTACAGCTTGCCTGTGTACCAACAGTGTTACAGCTTGCCTGTGTACCAACAGTGTTACAGCTTGCCTGTGTACCAACAGTGTTACAGCTTGCCTGTGTACCAACAGTGTTACAGCTTGCCTGTGTACCAACAGTGTTACAGCTTGCCTGTGTACCAACAGTGCTACAGCTTGTCTGTGTACCAACAGTGCTACAGCTTGTCTGTGTACCAACAGTGCTACAGCTTGTCTATGTACCACCAGTGCTACAGCTTGCCTGTGTACCAACAGTGCTACAGCTTGCCTGTGTACCAACAGTGATACAGCTTGTCTGTGTACCAACAGTGATACAGCTTGTCTGTGTACCAACAGTGCTACAGCTTGCCTGTGTACCAACAGTGCTACAGCTTGCCTGTGTACCAACAGTGCTACAGCTTGCCTGTGTACCAACAGTGATACAGCTTGTCTGTGTACCAACAGTGATACAGCTTGTCTGTGTACCAACAGTGCTACAGCTTGTCTGTGTACCAACAGTGCTACAGCTTGTCTGTGTACCAACAGTGCTACAGCTTGTCTGTGTACCAACAGTGCTACAGCTTGCCTGTGTACCACCAGTGCTGCAGTTCCTGACGAGAAATAATGTAAGGTGTTACCCTTCCTGTGGTCCTCAGGGCCACCCTTCACACCCCAGGCGCCTCCCCTTATAACCACCGAGGCTTGAGGCGGCCCGGGCCACACATCTCCCACCTGCAGCCTCCACTAAGATGCCATCACCGCTCCCTGTACAGGTGGTGAACGTGTTCCAGCAGCTCTACGCCTCTGTTGATGACATCGACCCCTTCGTGGCCGGTATCTCTGAGCGGCCCGCACCGGGGGCTCTCCTGGGACCCACCTTCAGGTGAGAGGGCATGGGAGGAGGGACCCACCTTCAGGTGAGTGGGCATGGGAGGAGGGACCCACCTTCAGGTGAGTGGGCATGGGAGGAGGGACCCACCTTCAGGTGAGAGGGCATGGGAGGGACCCACCTTCAGGGGAGTGGGCATGGGAGGAGGGACCCACCTTCAGGTGAGTGGGCATGGGAGGAGGGACCCACCTTCAGGTGAGTGGGCATGGGAGGAGGGACCCACCTTCAGGTGAGTGGGCATGGGAGGACTAATGACTGACCATTCACGCGTTCTCCCGCCACACACAGATGAATGACTGACCAATCACGTGTTCTCCCGCCACACACAGAAGGACGACTGACCAATCACGTGTTCTCCCGCCACACACAGAGGGACGACTGACCAATCACGTGTTCTCCCGCCACACACAGATGGATGACTGACCAATCATATGTTCTCCCGCCACAGGTGCATAGTCGGTGAGCAGTTCATCCGCCTGAAGCGAGGAGACAGGTTCTTCTACGACCTGGCGGACATGCCCGCCTCGTTTTCTGAAGGTATGTTTACATCTTGCTTCTTGAATTGTCAAGCCTGGTAACTGTCAAGCCTGGTAACTGTCAAGCCTGGTGATTGTCTAGCCTGCTGATTGTCTAGCCTGGTAATTGTCTAGCCTGGTAATTGTCTAGCCTGGTGACTGTCTAGCCTGGTGATTGTCTAGCCTGGTGATTGTCTAGCCTGGTGATTGTCTAGCCTGGTGATTGTCTAGCCTGGTGATTGTCAAGCCTGGTAATTGTCAAGCCTGGTGATTGTCAAGCCTGGTGATTGTCAAGCCTGGTGATTGTCAAGCCTGGTGATTGTCAAGCCTGGTGATTGTCAAGCCTGGTGATTGTCTAGCCTGGTGATTGTCTAGCCTGGTGATTGTCTAGCCTGGTGATTGTCAAGCCTGGTGATTGTCAAGCCTGGTGATTGTCTAGCTTGGTGATTGTCTAGCTTGGTGATTGTCTAGCCTGGTAATTGTCTAGCCTGGTGATTGTCAAGCCTGGTGATTGTCTAGCTTGGTGATTGTCTAGCCTGGTAATTGTCTAGCCTGGTGATTGTCGAGCCTGGTGATTGTCGAGCCTGGTGATTGTCGAGCCTGGTGATTGTCGAGCCTGGTGATTGTCGAGCCTGGTGATTGTCGAGCCTGGTGATTGTCGAGCCTGGTGACTGTCGAGCCTGGTGACTGTCGAGCCTGGTGACTGTCGAGCCTGGTGATTGTCAAGCCTGGTGATTGTCAAGCCTGGTGATTGTCAAGCCTGGTGATTGTCGAGCCTGGTGATTGTCGAGCCTGGTGATTGTCGAGCCTGGTGATTGTCGAGCCTGGTGATTGTCGAGCCTGGTGATTGTCGAGCCTGGTGATTGTCGAGCCTGGTGATTGTCGAGCCTGGTGATTGTCAAGCCTGGTGATTGTCAAGCCTGGTGATTGTCAAGCCTGGTAACTGTCAAGCCTGGTAACTGTCAAGCCTGGTAACTGTCAAGCCTGGTAACTGTCAAGCCTGGTGATTGTCAAGCCTGGTGACTGTCAAGCCTGGTAACTGTCAAGCCTGGTAACTGTCAAGCCTGGTAACTGTCAAGCCTGGTGACTGTCAAGCCTGGTGATTTTTAATGTAAATTAATGATCATTATTTTAATACAACGGTTTGAAATATGTTGAGATTCTATGTAGTGTTTGGTTGAGGCTCTGCTCTATGTATACTGGTGCTTGAGGCTCTGCTCTATGTATACTGGTGCTTGAGGCTCTGCTCTATGTATACTGGTGCTTGAGGCTCTGCTCTATGTATACTGGTGCTTGAGGCTCTGCTCTATGTATACTGGTGCTTGAGGCTCTGCTCTATGTATACTGGTGCTTGAGGCTCTGCTCTATGTATACTGGTGCTTGAGGCTCTGCTCTATGTATACTGGTGCTTGAGGCTCTGCTCTATGTATACTGGTGCTTGAGGCTCTGCTCTATGTATACTGGTGCTTGAGGCTCTGCTCTATGTATACTGGTGCTTGAGGCTCTGCTCTATGTATACTGGTGCTTGAGGCTCTGCTCTATGTATACTGGTGCTTGAGGCTCTGCTCTATGTATACTGGTGCTTGAGGCTCTGCTCTATGTATACTGGTGCTTGAGGCTCTGCTCTATGTATACTGGTGCTTGAGGCTCTGCTCTATGTATACTGGTGCTTGAGGCTCTGCTCTATGTATACTGGTGCTTGAGGCTCTGCTCTATGTATACTGGTGCTTGAGGCTCTGCTCTATGTATACTGGTGCTTGAGGCTCTGCTCTATGTATACTGGTGCTTGAGGCTCTGCTCTATGTATACTGGTGCTTGAGGCTCTGCTCTATGTATACTGGTGCTTGAGGCTCTGCTCTATGTATACTGGTGCTTGAGGCTCTGCTCTATGTATACTGGTGCTTGAGGCTCTGCTCTATGTATACTGGTGCTTGAGGCTCTGCTCTATGTATACTGGTGCTTGAGGCTCTGCTCTATGTATACTGGTGCTTGAGGCTCTGCTCTATGTATACTGGTGCTTGAGGCTCTGCTCTATGTATACTGGTGCTTGAGGCTCTGCTCTATGTATACTGGTGCTTGAGGCTCTGCTCTATGTATACTGGTGCTTGAGGCTCTGCTCTATGTATACTGGTGCTTGAGGCTCTGCTCTATGTATACTGGTGCTTGAGGCTCTGCTCTATGTATACTGGTGCTTGAGGCTCTGCTCTATGTATACTGGTGCTTGAGGCTCTGCTCTATGTATACTGGTGCTTGAGGCTCTGCTCTATGTATACTGGTGCTTGAGGCTCTGCTCTATGTATACTGGTGCTTGAGGCTCTGCTCTATGTATACTGGTGCTTGAGGCTCTGCTCTATGTATACTGGTGCTTGAGGCTCTGCTCTATGTATACTGGTGCTTGAGGCTCTGCTCTATGTATACTGGTGCTTGAGGCTCTGCTCTATGTATACTGGTGCTTGAGGCTCTGCTCTATGTATACTGGTGCTTGAGGCTCTGCTCTATGTATACTGGTGCTTGAGGCTCTGCTCTATGTATACTGGTGCTTGAGGCTCTGCTCTATGTATACTGGTGCTTGAGGCTCTGCTCTATGTATACTGGTGCTTGAGGCTCTGCTCTATGTATACTGGTGCTTGAGGCTCTGCTCTATGTATACTGGTGCTTGAGGCTCTGCTCTATGTATACTGGTGCTTGAGGCTCTGCTCTATGTATACTGGTGCTTGAGGCTCTGCTCTATGTATACTGGTGCTTGAGGCTCTGCTCTATGTATACTGGTGCTTGAGGCTCTGCTCTATGTATACTGGTGCTTGAGGCTCTGCTCTATGTATACTGGTGCTTGAGGCTCTGCTCTATGTATACTGGTGCTTGAGGCTCTGCTCTATGTATACTGGTGCTTGAGGCTCTGCTCTATGTATACTGGTGCTTGAGGCTCTGCTCTATGTATACTGGTGCTTGAAGCTCTGCTCTATGTATACTGGTGCTTGAAGCTCTGCTCTATGTATACTGGTGCTTGAGGCTCTGCTCTATGTATACTGGTGCTTGAGGCTCTGCTCTATGTATACTGGTGCTTGAGGCTCTGCTCTATGTATACTGGTGCTTGAGGCTCTGCTCTATGTATACTGGTGCTTGAGGCTCTGCTCTATGTATACTGGTGCTTGAGGCTCTGCTCTATGTATACTGGTGCTTGAGGCTCTGCTCTATGTATACTGGTGCTTGAGGCTCTGCTCTATGTATACTGGTGCTTGAGGCTCTGCTCTATGTATACTGGTGCTTGAGGCTCTGCTCTATGTATACTGGTGCTTGAAGCTCTGCTCTATGTATACTGGTGCTTGAGGCTCTGCTCTATGTATACTGGTGCTTGAGGCTCTGCTCTATGTATACTGGTGCTTGAGGCTCTGCTCTATGTATACTGGTGCTTGAGGCTCTGCTCTATGTATACTGGTGCTTGAGGCTCTGCTCTATGTATACTGGTGCTTGAGGCTCTGCTCTATGTATACTGGTGCTTGAGGCTCTGCTCTATGTATACTGGTGCTTGAGGCTCTGCTCTATGTATACTGGTGCTTGAGGCTCTGCTCTATGTATACTGATGCTTGAGGCTCTGCTCTATGTATACTGGTGCTTGAGGCTCTGCTCTATGTATACTGGTGCTTGAGGCTCTGCTCTATGTATACTGGTGCTTGAGGCTCTGCTCTATGTATACTGGTGCTTGAGGCTCTGCTCTATGTATACTGGTGCTTGAGGCTCTGCTCTATGTAGAGGCGGTCACAGGGTGCAGTATAAACCTCTTGTTTACCTCCACACTGCCATAGTGAACACCGTAGGACTCATTAAGTATGACTTAAGTATGACTCATTATAATAAGTCATATAAGTATGACTCATTATAATAAGTCATATAAGTATGACTCATTATAATAAGTCATATAAGTATGACTCATTACCGTATGACTCATTAAGGACACTAGCAGGCCGGCCATCAACGGTTCAATACGCTCTTGCTACCTTTGAACATAACGAAACCACGCCTAACCTAACCTTGAGGGAGCCGAGCGGACAGCACGCTGGACTTGTGATCCTGTGGTCCTGGGTTCGATCCCAGGCGCCGGCGAGAAACATTGGGCAGAGTTTTTCACCCTATGCCCCTGTTACCTAGCAGTAAAATAGGTACCTGGGTTTTAGTCAGCTGTCACGGGCTGCTTCCTGGGGGTGGAGGCCTGGTCGAGGACCGGGCCGCGGGGACACTAAAGCCCCGAAATCATCTCAAGATAACCTAACTTTACCTTACCAAACCTAACCTAACCTTTGCAAAGACAAGCTATCCAAGAACATCTTTTTCTGCCCTACCATAGTATAACATGCCGAGGGGCAATGATAACCACCTGTTCATTAACGCTGACCGCCAGGTGAGAGGCAGGTGGCCGTGCCCCGCGCGGCCTGGCCACCACCAGCTGTTGAACACCCTACAGACATTACCACCATTTCTGTGCATGAAATAAAACATTACAAATATTTAAGTTATGTAACTGCCTTGCGACATAGTTACTACAGGATGCAAGTGGAGGGAATGAAGCCTAATTCGGACTTTTTGGTTTTAGGCAAATGTCTGAATTTGGCTTCAGGACTTTTTAAGATCTATCTAAAGTCTGGTCAACTTGTACGCGGACGAATTCAGGTCTTAAATCTAATATTCTAATTTAAGAGCTTCAACTTCAACCGCTTCCTTCCCCGTGTCTTCGTCTTGCTCTCAAACCCTCTACTGACAGGCCTTTGTGTGCTCTCAGTCCTCACCCGGCGCCAGCACCAAGCCTCACTACTCCAGCCTCGTCACTCAACCCGTAATGAGGTCCCGCCCTCATCAACACGCCCTCACACTGCTCACTATCACCACGGCCACACACACACCACTATTCCGGGGACCACAGGCCCGCACCCTCACCTGTCACCACACCCACCAACAGTGACAGTCACCACACCCACCAACAGTGACAGTCACCACACCCACCAACAGTGACAGTCACCACACCCACCA